AGCCGCGCCCGCGGGGTCCTAGCGCCCGTCCCACCCGCGCTCTCGCTCACTCGGGAACGCGTGGCTCCGAGGTCGGCACTTGGCCAGCCTTGCCCCCTCCCCGAAACAGAGGCTCCTCTTTCCGCTGGAGAAGAGAGAGTGTGGCTCCGCTTCCCCCAGAGCTGGGGAGCTGAGGATGGGGGGGAACCCTGACGCTGGATGGGGCGGAGGGACGCGGGGTACGGGCCGGGCTGCGCCACAAAGGTTTGCTTCTCCCGAGGGTACAGCTCAGTCCCGGGGGCCACGTGTCAACCAGGAGCCCGGGACTGCAGCCTCCCGGTGCCAGGCAGCCGAAGCCTGGCAACCGGCTCTTGGGAGCCCGGCTGGGGAGGGGAGGCAGGGCTGGCGCTGGGCCAGAGGAAACTCGGCCCAGTCTTCGGCTGCGCCCACATTCCTTCCTTGACCTGAGCCGGCCCTGCCGCCGAGATCGGGGGCCCAGCCCAACCGTGGGGTGTTGGGCAGCCACGCCCCCTCCTGAAGAGACCACACTCTAGGCAGGCAGGCAGCTGATGTTTTTATTGGCACTGCTTCCAGTCATCTGGAAACTGGTCTGGTCCAGCCAGTTACCTTTCCCCCAACCTGTTTCGGAGGAATGGCAGAGGGTGGGGGGCGGGGTGAGAGCCGCTCCCCCAGACCTCCCTGCCCCAGGCAATGCACAGGCTAGGCCGCTGGAATGACCACTGGAATGGCCCTCGAGGCAGGCTCCACCTTGACCTGCTCCAAAGCACTGAGCTGCTGTCCCACTGGGCACCAGCGATGCATTTTCTAACCAGGCTGGAGGAGGAGCAGGGTCTGGGTGGAGCCACACCCACCTCCAGCCTTTTCCTGTCAAGTCTCTGAAGACCACCCTGCTTCCAAGGGTTAGATCTGGCTTCCAACTCAAGGCAAGCTGGGCCCTGAGGGCATTGACTTAAGAAAAGAAGAAGGGGTGGGAGGGAAGAGAGAAGTGTTAGGGGAATAGGGTGGGTTGAGTTTTACATATCCAGGGCTGAAAGCAGCACAGGGCTTGCCTCATCAGTTCTTACACCCCATTAGACATAATCCAGGGGGCCTGGATGGAGACACTCATGCTTCAGGCACCTGTGCTTTCCAAGAACATTCAGAGAAGCAATGTCGGGGTGGTCCAGAGGTGTATCCAGGCACCTCACGGGGGGACTGGCTCATCCGTGACGGCTAGAGAGCACAAGAGAGAAACCTCTGCAGCCTCCCAGAGGACAGAGCCTCCAGCAAGCACCCCCACCTCTGCCCCCAGTTCCGCACTGGGCCCTGGACTCTGCCAGACCAGAAGTGGAGGTTCAAACTAACCTGGACGAGGGAGCAGAGGAGAAAGAATGATTTGGGCCCTGGGGAGCAGTGAAGGCAGCCCTTCAATGAGGCCCCAAAGTACCCACCCTTGCCCACCCCGGGCAGGAAACTCAGTTTTATCCCACAGCTTCTGCTTTCATTTATTTGGGGGCTAAAGATGTGTTTGGGTGGTTTGGGCTGTGAACACCGGGGATGGGGGTGTGGGCAGGATCCAGCTGGGTTAACCCTGTGTGGGTGAGGTGGAAAAAGTGATCACTCACGGCGTACAGCCAGGAGAGTGTTTCCATGGCAACAGGACACAGAAGTCACTGTGTAGGGATGTGTCTCATCTAGCTGCACTGGACGAGGGAGTCCAGCATCCTCGTCCCTCCTTCCAAGTCGACCTCGGGCCCCTTTGCCCCAAGAGTATACCTCACCTTCTGCCAAAGAGAATCGCACAGAGGGAAATGGGAAGAGGACACAGCTTAGCCAGCAGAGCAGCTGTCCCCCCCAGATTGCCCTACCGGCCCCAGGATGAGGTTGCTGAGTTCAGCAGATCTGAGCATGATAATCCCCCCATTGCCTGTCCATGCCCATATCTGCCCCCACAGTGCCCACTAATCACCTGCCCCAATGGCTACAGTGAAGGCATCCCCACAGGCCACCATTGCTATCTTGATGCCCTGGAGGCCTTGCACTTGACAAGGTGCCCGGCTGACCCTGCGAGCATTGGTACCCAATTGACCGTGCTGATTGCTGCCGAAAGTATAGCAGTCCCCAGAGGCTGTAAAGGAGGAAAGGGAGAAAGGAGCCTCAACTGAGGTTCCAAAGAGGCCAGGAGAGTCCCCTTCCTGCCACCTTGTCCCGGTCCTACTCACCAGTCACAGCAGCTGAATGAGCAGTACCTAGGTCCACACTCAGCAGGGTCTCCTGGTCCAGGGGTGCAGAGCACAGTGGTGTGAAGCTCAGCACCTCCTCCACTTGCTGGTGGGGGGCAGGCTCCTCCCCCAGGGAGAGGTGGTCCAGGCCCAACTTGTTGAACCTAAGGGCAGAACCAGAAGCCAAGCCCAATGGACACAGTTTGTATAGACCAGGGGTCGCCAACCGGTGGTCCTTGACTGGTGGTCCGTGAGGTCCGAAAGGTTGGCAACTGCTGGTATAGACTGTCCTGCCTCCCAGCTATCTGGGCAGGAGCTGATGCACCAGGGGATAGAGCCCACCCTGAACTGAACCCACATACCCTCAGACCTCCTCAGTTCTAATCCCTGGTGGGAAGTAGGCAATGACAGATGGAGCATTAACAGCCCAAGGTGGGGAGGGGGTAGTCTAGTCATCCTGAGGCACCTGGTTACCTGTTGCTCCCGCAGGCCAGGACTCGGCCAGGCACAGTGAGGATCATGGAGGAGTCAATGCCACATACAACCCGCTGGGCTTCCTGTCCTGGGGGCATCGGCACCTGCTGGGGGCAGTTGTAGGACTCCCTGGTGCCTAGTCCCAGCCGGCCTATAAGGAGAAACCAGCATGGGGCTAGTTTGAGCTTTAGGGTTGGTGATGCCAGCCGCAGGCAGGAAACTCCGATGAGCTGAGGACCCCTGGAGAGGCAGTAATAGTGTGAGTGAAGGCTTCCCATCCTCGGGCCCCTCTTTGGGTCAAAATCCTACTCCTCCTTTAAGGACCTGTTCAGATGCCACCGCTGCTCCGCCAGGTGAAGTCCCTTGCCATTCCTTGAGTTTCAACACCTCTGGACTTGGGTGGAGCCCTGATGCTGTCTGTCCTCTGTCATAACGATGCATCATCCCATCCCTCCCCCCACCGGAGTGCTCCAAGAGGACAGGATCCGCACCTACGTCAGCTCTAGTTTCAGTGCCCAGACCCGGAGAGAGCCACAGTGAAAACTGTTGGATGAATGAAATCTCCCTCAGAAGTACCTCAAGGAAGTGATATCTTGTTCATCTTGTCTCAGCACCCAGCACAGGGTGGGCACATAGTGGGCGTACAGTAAAGATTTGCTGAGTGAGCCCTGACTGGTTTGACTCAGTGGATAGAGCGTCGGCCTGCGGACTCAAGGGTCCCAGGTTTGATTCCAGTCAAGGGCATGTACCTTGGTTGCGGGCACATCCCCAGTGGGGAGTGTGCAGGAGGCAGCTGATTGATGTTTCTAACTCTCTATCCCTCTCCCTTCCTCTCTGTAAAAAATCAAATATATTTAAAAAAAAAAAAGATTTGCTGAGTGAATAAATGAATGGAATTGGAGAGAAAAGAGGGAGGAGAAAACGGGCCATAGGGTGGAAGGTGGGTATGGAGGGGAACAAATCATGTCTGGGGGCTGCTGTGAGACGAGTGAGAGGCTGGAACTGGGTAGAGAGCTTACCACCATCTCCGCGGCCCCAGGCAAACAGTTCTCGCTCAGTGGACAGAGCCAGCACATGAGAGGCCCCACAGGCCACCTGCACCATCTCATAACCCAGCAGCGCCTCCACGATGGTGGGCTAGAGAGAGAGGAAACTGTGGGCAAGGGGCCTGGACCCAACATCCCCTTTCGAGACGATGTTGGAGGCTTCAAATTCTCACGAGATGGCTGTTTCTTTAACTCACCACCACCATCACCACCACAGCAACCACTGGGGAAGCCTGGTCTTTCTGTACTTCCCCTGATGCTGCCCAGAACAGGTGCAGCCTGGGAGCTAGAGGGACCTGTGGTTGCTGAAGATCCCCTGCCCCCAACCTGGGTTTCAGCTCTCAGGCTCCTTGCCACCTCCCGGCTTCCTCCTCCCCAAGGCACATGCCACACCCACCTGGCTGATGTCATTGAGGCTGCCATGGCCTAGGCACCCATTGCTGCCGCTGCCAAAGGTCATGATGATACCTCGGTCTTGGGAGGGGGGCGTTGAGGAAAGGAAAGGGAGAGAGATCAGGCTGTTTTTCCAGATAGACCAGTCTAACCTTGAGTTGGAGAAACAATAAAAAAATTAGTTGGAGGCCGAGGAGGGAAGAATGAAATGGGGGAGAGATAAGGACAGGGGTCTCTTTTCCCCAGTGTGTGACTTTGGACAAGTGACTTAGCCTCTGAGCCTTGGTTTTCAGATCCGTTGAATGGGATCCTATGACTACCTTGCCAGGCCTGTTGTGAAGGGTAAGAGTTGGGTAAGTAATCCCTGGTGCTCGATAACCAGTAGATAGAAGCATTGTTAAGTGAGCATCCTGTAAATGACAGGCAAGGAGAGAAGTTGCTCATAGCCCCCTGCCCTGCTCTCTGCACTAACCAGTCAGGCAAGCTGTGAAGAGGTCCCCGCAGGCCACATGCTTGATGGTCACACCTGACTGGCCCTCCAGGAAACGGGAGATGAACTGGGGCTGCTGCTGCTCCACTGCCCCAGGAAGGAGGGCGCCCCCTCCGCCACCTAGGGGTGGGGCCTGTGGAGCAGATGGTGTGGGGAGAACCTGAGCACCCCCTTCCTTAAGGCATGCCCTGCCCCATTCCGGGCTCACCTCAGCTGGCTCACCTCCCACAGGATGAGGCGCCCAGAGCGTGTGACGCCAGCCTTCTGTGTGCGCCCGGTGGCCACCTGAACCACCTCTGTGTTGAGCATTGGCAGCCGCAGAGGAGCACTGAGCCCCCCGCCCCATGTGTACACGGATGACAGAGGTGGTGGAATGGCTGGCCGTGCAGGTCCCCGGGGGACGCCTGTAGGGACAGCTCATGAGGTCTATTGAACTGGTGGGAAGGGCATGGTGTCGAAGGGGCCCTGGACGGTCAGCTGGACTTACCCCTGCAGCGGGCACTGGTGGTCCTGCTCCCTGTGCTGCCTGGGGCTATGGGTGGCCCAGTGGCCAGGGATTTCTCTGCCCTGTGGGACAGATGGACCGACCCTCAGGACATGGACTGACCCTCTTTGGTATCCCCACCCACAGGAATGATTTGCGCTGAGGACCCCTATGTCCCAGTCTTACTGTGCTCCCACTGGGTGCCCCCTACTGCCCAGGGCCCCCTCCCCGGCTCCCCGCACAGGCCTCCGCATTCGGACGCTGCCCAAGTCCGTGTGCAGGTTGAGGAGGGCACGCATGCAGAGGGGCTGCGCCATGATGTGGCTAAGCGGCGGCCGCTGTGCTGGCTCCAGGCTGAGCAGACTCAGGACCAGCTGGCGCAGCTCAGGGCTGTACCGGTCAGAGATGGGTGCAAAGGTGCCGCTCATGATCTTCAGCACCAGCGCTGGCAGGTTCTGTGAAGGCACCAAGTTGTGGGGTTGGCCAGAGCCTCAGGCCAGGCTCTTAGGTGGTTTCAGCCCCAGCCCCTCATCTGATGGGTGGTCACAGCCCTGTGCTCAGGAGACTTCCAACCCTACTTTCAAGAACCTCTGATAGGGGAGCTGCGGCTATGTCCTCAGAAACCCCAGGTTGTTGGGAAAACTTACGTTTTGCCTTTAAGAGGATCCCTAATCAGATGGGGAAACTCTGCCCTCAGGAGCCCTCAGTTTAAAGGGGAGAACCAAGCCCTACCCTTGGGAATTCATTGTCTGAGGGGAACCACAGACCTGCCTTTGGCTAATCCACTCGTCTGATGAGGGAGACCTGACTCAGCCACGGAGAAGAATCACACAAGCAGGTGGAGCGGGGACTTTAGGGGGAGGGAGACAGAGATTTCCCAGTTGTCCCCTTGGGGGTGGTTACTCACCGCAGCCTCAAAGGCCCTCTTGAGGCTGGCCAGCTCATAGAGGACGCAGCCCAGGGCCCAGATGTCGCTCTTCTGGTTGTAGGGCTTGCCTTCACACAGTTCAGGGGAAATGTAGCATGGTGTACCCACCACCTGCAGGAGGGAAGCTAATATTACAGCCCGGGGAGGGAAGACCAAGGGCCACTTGGAGACCGCTTCTCCCCCAAGCAGGCCAAAGTGCTTCCTCCTGCAGGACAACCCAGTCAGGAGCTAAGGGGCCAAGGCCTTGGGGGTGGGCCGGCGCCCTCAAAACCTCCAGCACCCTTGAGATTCCCTTCCATGCCCAGGCACCGTGTAGGCCTTGCTCTTGCTGCTAAGGATCTTGGAGATGCCAAAGTCGCCAATCTTGACGACCATGCGATGTTTGTCAAGAAGGATGTTTTGGGTCTTGAGGTCCCGGTGCAAGATGAGATGGGTGTGCACATGATGCAGTGCCAGCAGGATCTGCACAAAGAAGTGCAGGATGGTCTCCTCCTCCAGCAGGGAATTACAGCGCTTTTGGATGAACTCAGCCAGGGTGCCGCCTGCAGCAGCAAGGGTTTAGTCAAGATTCAGTCTTTTCCAGGCCTGAGATTTTCCTTTGATGAAACTAAACACCCAGACAGGGCAAATGCCTCCCACCCACCATCACACTACTTGCATCAGAATTCTATACCTCTGACCCTCAGCCAAGCCCATTCCAAGGAAGGAAGTTGGCTAATCTGTGTCTGTCTGTCTGTCTGTCTGTCTGAGAGGTGAGAGGCCCTTGAAGCCAGGCCCACCTGGTGCGTACTCCATGGCAATCATGAGGGCCTTGTCCTCCAGGAAGTTCTCATAGTACTCAATGACATTGGGATGGTTGAGCAGCTTAAGGACCTGACACTCATTTTGGGCTGCCTGCCGCTCTTCCTTGGTCATCTGCTCCACGGGGATCTGCTTGATGATCACCAGCTTCTGGTCCGCCTTGCGCAGGCACAGGTGCACAATCCTGGGGACGCAGAGCACAGCAGTGGGTGCCAGCTTAGCCACCACCAGGGGTCCTCAAACTTTTTAAACAGGGGGCCAGTTCACTGTCCCTCAGACCGTTGGAGGGCCAGACTATAGTTTAAAAAAAAACTAGTCGGCTGCTAAGCAACAGGCAGCGGAGGCAAAAACACCCGGCGGGCTGGATAAATGTTTTCGGCGGGCCGCATGTGGCCCGCGGGCCGTAGTTTGAGGACCCCTGCTCCAGCCACATAGCAAGCTGGGAAGACCTGGTGACTGAACGGTGAAGAGGTCACCTGCGTGCACGGAACACTGAGTTTAGGAATGGGGAGGACTAACCACAAACTCTGTGAGACCTTATTTGAAACTCAGTTTCACCACAGGCACAATGAGGCAAAATTAGTCTTCATCTCTTTTAAGTTTCCACAGACTCTGAAGTCAACCGCCTGGATTCAAATCCTAGCTCCTCCTCTTACTAATGATCTGGTCTTGGATCACGTAACATCATCATCTGGAAAACAGAATGGACCTCACAGGGTTGCTGAGGTGTCCAAATAAGAAAATGCAGCCCAGCTGGCGTGGCTCAGTGGCTGTGTGTGGACCTGTGAACCAGGAGGTCACGGTTTCATTCCCAGGCAGGGCACATGCCCAGGTTGCAGTTGATCCCCAGTAGGGGCTGTGCAGGGGGCAGAAACCAGGGGGCAACAGATGGATATTTTGCCCTCATTGGATGTTTCTCTCTTTTTCCCTCTCCCCTTCTCTGTCTCTAAAAATCAATTTTAAAAAATTATATATATTCTTTACTTTGCCCACTACATCCCAACTATACCATGCTCTCCCTCCGTTCCTGAATACTCTGAATTTTTCCCACTTGAGGACCTTCACATATGCTGTTTCCTCCACCTGAAAAGCGCTGCCTTCACCTTCAGACTATTCCTCATTCCTCCTGTCTTGGCTTTAAACTTCACCTCTCGGAGAAATGTCCTGCACTACCCCAAGTAAGTACGTCCCTGCAAGGTCTTGTTTCTTGTGCATTTTTCCTATAGTCTGTGAGCCCTGAGAGAGAAAAGACCACGCCTGCTTTGGTCTGAGAGCCTGACGCAGAGTCGGCGCTCAATATTTGTTGAATGAATCAAGTCCGGGATCAAAGACCAGAACCCTGCGTGGGCGCAAACGCTTAGCGGGGGCGTGACCTCCGCCGAAGTCAGGTCTCCCAGCCCGGCCTGGGACCGGAAGTTGGGCGGGGCTTCCCGGAGCGGGCGCTCCCGCCTCGGGGCGGGGCTAACCGGGCGGCGATTTCGCGGACAGAGTTGGGTTTGTTTTCCCTCTCGTGAGTGCTTTCCTCCCCCAGAGCCCCGGCTCACCCGAAGGCACCTCTTCCCACCACTCGGATCCGCTCGTACTTCTCCATCTCGTGTCTCACTCACATTTCCGGAACCCCGACGCCCAGACGCGGCGCGTGCGCGGGCCCGCCCACGCCAGTAAGTCACGCCCACTCCAGTAAGCCACGCCCCCGCCGCAGAGAAGCGCCTGGAGCCCGCGGAGTAACCTGTTGGCTCTGCCTGTACCCCACCTGCAGCCTGTGTCTGCGGGGCCGCTTTTCCAGGGCCCCAGCAGGGAAGGGGCGATGTGCCATGTCTTGGCGCACCGTAACCTCCCCACCCTCGTGGCCGCATCCGGTCCTCGCAAAGCTTCCTAAGACCGGAGAGGCGCTCTTCGCAGACCGAGTGCGGGCGGGAAGCGAGGACTGACCTCTCTCTGCCCCCCTCTTGGCCCACTAGTGACTGTTTCGGAAGGAAAGCAGATGCTCACTGGTTCCAAACGATACACACTACCCAAACCGCCGCGCTCGGTCAATCGGAACCGGTCGGTGTCTTGTTTCCCTGGGGAGGGACCAGGGAAACCCCGACCTGTGCAAGTTGATTCACCTGCGGAGGATGTGACGCGGTCTCCAGGCAGCCCGGGCCTGGTGGACACCGCGCTCTCAGCACCGTCAGCCCCCAGCGTCACACACACAATGCTGCCACCGGGTCCTCTGCCTTCAGCATCCGCCGACCCCCTGGCTCGGGGGAACCTCCGTCAGGGAAGATGGGAGGGAAGTGGACCGCTGCCTCACGAGTAAAAGCATCAGGGAGAAGAAGAAAGACAGCCGTTTGGCCTACATGGGTTCTAGGCTTCTGCCTAGAGGTTAGTAGGATTGTTTAGGGTCTTGACCAGAAATCAGTTCAATTCCAGGTGTCTCCCTGGCACTTCCTGCTCTTCACGAGTCAATACAAGCTCAGTTAAGGAGCAAGAGGATGGTGATTAGCTAAGGGATGGCGTCCCTACTTCCGAGTGGGTGAGGAGTGTGAGTAATGGGGTGTGTACCTTCTGCTCCCATCTCACCCCTCGAAAGGCGTCCAAACCTGCCCACGTCTGATGACCACTAGGAGGGCCCCAGGTGGGCCTCTCCGGACTCAGGCCAGGGCTGGCTGTGGGACAGCTGCTCTGTGAGCAGAGGGTGGCGGGAGCAAGCGCAAAGGGGGAAAGCCGCTCACCCGGGACACTCGTGCTCTCACCTAGAAACCGATCGGGCCTCGGCTGACCCAGGAGCCCCACAGGGTTTAATGTGTAACCCTGGAGCCATCAGGGGAGGCAAAGCAAACACCCAAACCTCTCGGCCCCTGGGTCTCTGGCGCCTCATGTTTCTGGCTTTTCCCTCCCCCCCGCCGCACCTTTTCCCTCGTCCCCAATTACAACTTTCCTTTCCTCCACCTAACCGCCCCCCCTTCACTTTTCTCGCCCTCACCCCCTACTGCAGACCCGGCTTTTAGCTGCGCCTCGGTTCGCCAGAGTCTGACTGGCTCACTCTCCCCAAAAGCAACAACCTCATTTCTGGGGGGGAGGGGGGGGACTCGATCCCAGCCACGGTGGGTACAGGCTGACATCTAGTGGCCACACGCTGCAACTGCTCCAGGCCACCGGCCTGAAGAGTAAGGGTCACCCGAGCAGCCGGGGCAGAGCGGCCGCCTTCCCCGCTCCGGCCTCCAGGGAGCCGGGCTGTCGGAAGGTTTGTCACAGCCGCGGGGCCCCAGGAGCCCCGAAGCGGGCCGGGGGGAGGGGTGGTGATGGGTTAGTCAGGAGTTTCTAGGCACCGACTCCGTGCGGGGGGCGCTGTAGAGGCAGGTAAACACATCCGTCTCCAGCCAGAAGCCAGCGATCCAGTGAAATAGCAGGGACAGGGCAGAGATCACGGTCGGAGGCGGGGCTCCGACCCGTACCCAGGACCCGGGTTTAAAAGTCGTGGGTGTGTGACGGATCCTGTCAGCTCTGCCAAGAAAGGAGTGGAGGGCGGAGAGAGTTCTTGCAATACCCGCCCAAGCGGGGGAGCCGGTGGCCCCGAGGAAAGTGGGGGGGCGGGTTAATGAGGCCAAGCGAGCGAGTCGGCAGTCGGGAGGCGCCAGCGAGGGGTGCCTTCGCGGCGGCGCCTCGGGACGGGCCCCCGAAGTCTGCGAGGAGAGAGGCGGGGCGCGGTAGGCTCCTTCCGGGAACAGGGGCTCGGCGCCCTTCCGCGGAGGAAA